TGGTTGCTGGGGGAGGGAGAGTCACTCTCTTCAGTTGTGTAGCCATTGGTAAAGTGTGCACAGACTACAGTAAATAGTCCTCAAGGGTTTATCCAAGTAGCCTTATTAAAACTCAGTAGGAGGGACACACATCACCACCAACAAAACACAAAAGATACAAAAACAAGAGGGTCTGTCAAAAAGAAGGGTTCAGTGGGGGAGGGATAGAGGGTAATTGGGGTGAAAATGACCAAGATAGATTATATACATGTATGATATTGTCAAACAAAAACATAAGAAAAATTGTATTTTATGAAAATATAATATAAATATATTAACATATAATCTTCTTGAGTACATATGGGGTTATCATGTCTGCAAGCCTGTGCTGAGCTACCCTGGCATCTGAGTTCTCTGGAAGAAGGGTTCTTTCCTTTGTGTTTCTACATGTGAACCCTTGGACCAGCCCCAGGTCTAATTATCTGCTGAGACAAAGGTACTCTCAAAAGCAGGTGCTGGAGTGCAGTCGCCAGAAGCAAAAGGTCAGGACGAATGGAGCCTTCCAACTCCAACCAGGAAAAGAGTGCCCGCTATAAACAAGGTTCTCAGACATAGCTCCCCCTGGAAGCATCATGAAGACGACAGCACCCAGGCTGCGCTGCTCCGTTTTATTTATTTTAAGACTGTTATCTACTTATTTTGTGTGTACACGTGTAAATATGTATGGAGATCGGGAGACAACTTGTGGGAGCCTGTTTGCTCTTTCCACCATGATCATTAGTATTGGTAGCAAGTGCCGTAATTGGATGAGCTTTCTCTTTGGTCTAAAATGCTATATTTAAAAAGGAGCTATAAGAGAATGTCATAATGTGTTCTGTAATGACATGAAAAGTCATTGGACGCCATAGAAGAAACTTCCATAGCTTCTGTGGGCCAACAAGATGGCTTAGTGGTAAAATGCCCTCCCATTCAGGCCCAATGACCTGGGTTTGATGCCAATAGTCCAGTTAAAAGAGGAAAAAGAAGATTGAGCCTCAGGCTATACCAGGCTCCCTTACTTCTGTGGTCCATTCCTAGCACACACATTCCTTTCAAATACAGTGCCCAAGGCAGCTGGTGGACGTGAGCATCCCTGAGAAGCCATATGGGCAGTGCAGGATCAGAAGGCAGAACTAGAGATAGCACTCACAGCTCGACTTCTTCCCAGTGACCTTCCAGTTGGCTAAACAGACAGGTTCTAAAAGCAAGTGATTGGGCATTTGAACCAGGAAAGTGCTAACGCTGCACAGGGATGCAGAAATGACTGGGCCTCCGTAACCTACACTTTCTTCTTCTGAAAAATGGATATAACATTATGTACTAATTCGCCTAGCACCAACACTTGTAGTATTCAGTGAGTGGTCCAGCTAAACAACAGAATGTGGTCCATGTTGACAGCAACAGAGATGTACAAATAAATATGAAGATGAAGGCAGAAGGTCATAGGCAAGAAGACAGCTTGGAAAGATCAAATCACCTTGGGCAAACAAGATGCTCACTAAGTAAAGGTACTTGCCACTGTGCCTGTCATGAATTCAACCCTAGCACCCATACGGTGGAAGGAGAGAAGCAAGTCTGGACAGCTGCCTTTGACCTCCACAAGTAAGTCATGGTACACACACCCCTCCCTACCACACACAAGAGCACATAACAGATAATGTGTAAAAAAGGATCTTTTAGAGCTAAAAAAAAAAAAAAAAAAAAAAAAAAATTGCTGGGCTGGGGAGATGGTTCGGCATTCCTACAGGTGAAGACAAGAGAATATTCTAATAGGAGATGGGCCAGGAAGCCTGTAGAACCAAGAGCAGAGCAACACAAGAGAGACTTACTTCAAACAACATGGAAGGTGAAAGGTCATGTGACCTCCACACATGTGCACACACACATAAAAAGAAACTTGTGAACTAACAGTTTACAAAATACCTACCAGAGAGAACATGCAGATTCTCCTTCCAGAAGACAGATCTACCTACACCTTCAAACCTACAGAATCCAGCAGGCCTCCATCAGGATCTCCCAGGGACATCAGCTAAGGCTGAGTCAGTCGGCTAAGCCCCAGGGTGTCAAGATGGCTGGTGGTGGGTTAGCAGCAGCATCGGGGCTGCCCCTTCCTGCTCTTCCCATAACCTTGAGCATGTCCTTGCCCAGCTTCTTTCTTTTATTCTGACTTCTAAAGAGGCCTGTGGAATCAGTGGGCTCAGAGAAGTTTTGGGAAGGCCAAGCTGTTACATTGTCTGCAGACCACAGCAGCAGACTCCTCTCTGTTAAAAACAGAATCTGATGTGCTGGGAAAGTTAAGACTTCAACACTAAAAGGCTCAGTGAGGCCTTCTAGAACATTTTGTGAGTGTTAAGTGTTGAGAATAGGGAGATGAGGCTACCAAGCCCAGAGCCTCCAATGCTCATGAACCATAGCCGCAAAAGCTTTGTCCCCCCCTGACCCTTACAAGGACCAAATTAAATTGAGTTACCTATCCCACTGACAGCTTTGAGACACATTACGCTGTCAGAAGAAACTGTGAGCCTTACAACTGAAAGATGAACCTCGCACTTACTTATTTCCTCCTCATCTTCATATCCCAAAGCCCAATACCTTTCAAGCACCTGAGCCAGGTAGGCTGTTCAATTTATTCCTTGTTCACAAAAATCCTTTTTACACTTTCCCCTGTGAAAGTGGTTTGGTCCTTTCTCCTCACTAAAGAAAAATTCACACAGGTGACGGTCCCGCTTGGGTTCCTCTCAGGTAGCACTAATGGCGTCTCCCTGGAGCACTCTGTCCTCATCTCTATCTACAGCAGTGCTATTCCCAAAATAACTGAGAGCAGCAACGCCAATCTGAGAGGAAACACTAGTGCCCAGTGTGGAGGCAAGCCATGGTGCTGGGACAAGAAGACAACAAAGTAGGGGGTGTGCTGTGTGGCCAGCCTGTGTTGAGAGCCACGTCCTTGTAGCATCTAAAACAGAGCAAAGTTCCACACACTCAGATTCTTCCCCAAACCACCCAACACAAATCCACACCCCGGCACGACTCCTTCCTCTCTCCCTTCCCCTTCCTTTTCCATTCCTCCCTTCAATTTCCTTTCTGTCCTCCCTTCTTCCCCTCATTTGCCTTCTTTCCTTCCTCAAAGGTGTAGTCTCACCTAAGGGCTAGCCTCAAACTTTCCATGCTCCTGCATACCACCATTCCTGGTGTGCTACAGTTTCAGCACCATCTTAACTAGCAGCTGTACAACTTCACTGAGGTGACCTTCCTCACCACAAACAGCACCCAATGCATCCCACCACAACTGGCTCCAAGCTGAAGGCAACCAGTTTGGCTAGAGGCATTGACAAGGCAATAAAAAACAAACACAGCAATAACAAGCAGAGTTATAATAAAACAAAGGTCAGTTTGTATTTTACATTAGATAGAAAGCAGAGTAAAGCTTAAGTGTGTCATAGTAAAACAAAGATATTATTTGACAAATAGTACTAGGGTAAATGGATACAAATGGAAAAGCCAGGACAGACTCATACATCAGAATCAATAAAATCTAGTTGAAGCATTAACTGCAAGAAGAAATTAGTTGAGGGCCAGTGAGCTGGCTCAGGAGGTAAAGATGCTTGCAGCCAAGCTTGACAACCTGAGCTTAATTCCTGGGACCCACAGTGTGGGAGGAGAGGACCAATTCCTGCAGATCCTTTTCAACCTCTGGCCTCCACATGCATGCAGGCACACACACACAGACACACACACACAGACATAAACACAGAATGACTGACAGGAGACCAGGAACCTTTTGGGGCAGTGAATTTCACCACTCTTTCCACAACTACACATGGCAGTCTTTTGAGGTTGCTACACCTTTACAGTAAGGGAACTCTCTCCTGGCTCAATCTCTGGTGACACCTCAGTGTTCCCCTTTCTAGGTGATACATAGAAAGACAAGACCTTTTGGAGTTTTTGAAGCTAGATAGAAAATCCATGTTCAGAAGCAAACACTTGGCTGATAGGGAAATAAGGAAAGCCCACAGTGGACACCCTCTATTCAGTGACGCTTCACTGAGACCCCCACCTCAGGCACCAGGGACGCTCTTCCCCTAGTGCCACCTACACAATCACTACAGACGCCTCAAGTGCAGAGGAACAGTGGAACCTGTTCCCAAGGCATCAGCACAAGAAAATCAGAGCCGCCCACTCCAGAAATGATGCTCAGAGGATAGCTGAGGAAGGAGGGATAGGACACAAGACCCTTCTGATGGTGGTTTTAATTGCACACCAGACACAATCTAGAACCACCTTGGAAGCATGTCTCAGAAAGCAGCTGTCTAGATCAGGCTGGCCTGTGGGAGTGGCTGTGGGAATTTCTTAGTTGGGTTAACTGAGTGGGGAATACATTCAGGCAATACTTCATGGGCAGGGCCCTGGGCAGAAGGAAAAGGAGAGAGAGTTGAACACTGGCATACATGCATTAACTGACTGTGTCCTCTGATCTTGACTGTGGTTCACATTCTTCCTGACTCCACCCCCACTGCAAAGATGAAGTATAACCCAGAACTTTGAGCCAAATAAGTACTTTCTCCTGGAAGTTGTTTTTGTGGGGTATTTTCATGGTAACAGGAAATGAAAAACAACAATAACAAAAACCAAGGCAGTCTTGTAAATCAGATTTCACCTGGGCTATGGCACAATGAAATATGACCGAGGCTCTTGTTCATTCTACACATTTTTTAAAACTCCATCAAAAACTTTTGCCTTGGGCTTGCCTCAGCTATGCAGTTTACCTCCTAAATGGCAAACGGCACTGTTCCTCAGGCCACTTGGCAAAGCAGGCCTGAGTAATAGGCAGCCTGACAGGGAGGAAAGATGGTGTTGGCACTTCTAACTAATGTACCTGGTAATTCCAACTACACTCCATGATTACATGGGGAAGGAGGCAGGAATCAGGAGGGGAGAGCTGTGGGTGTGATCTGAAGCCCAGGCCCTGGCAGGCAGCGACCTACCTTCCCTGCGTACTCAGACACAATCTGCTTGATCTCGGCAGAGCAGAGACCCACGATCTGGCCCACGGAGCTTGCACTGAGACGGCTCTGCAATCAAATGAGGTATGTTCTCAGGGACACTTGCCCATCACAGAACTGTGTAATACAAAACACCCAGCATTGCCCCGGGAGAGTGATGTGGCTTTGACCACTGACTCACCCACAGTACTCAGGACAGGAGTCAGAGCCACCCGCTCCTGTCTCTGACTCACTCAACTGGTTGTGTTAGCTTCCTTGGCCCCAGGGTACCCTGCAATCACCCTCTATCTCCCAAGTCAGTTAGTAGCTATGCTGGCTTGGGTCCAGTACCCTTGCCAACTTCCTCATGCCCTGGGTGTCCCTCCTAACTTCCCCTGTGGCCTTGGGTATCCCTGCTAACTTCCCCTCAACACTGCTTACCCCTACTAGCTTTCCTTCAGGCCCAGGGTACCCCTAGGATTCCTTCTTCTCCTCCACTCCCACATCCAGACATTTGGGGGCCTGGGACCCACGTATGAGAAGTACAAGAGGAACCATAAGCCCTAAAGTATCTCTTTATTCCCACAGGTCTTTCCTGATCTTGAAAGAAAGGCTCTTATCCAAGGAACAGCCAATCTTGGGCAGGCCCATGACCTGAGAGAGGGCTCACTGGAAACACAGGATTTCATCTTCTACATAGCTTGTTTCAGAAGAAGACAGGGGTTCCCATGGTTACAGAGAAGCAGGAGTGACCCTTGCTTTTCTGTAGAGGCCAATAAGGCACCCCTGCAGGAACATATCACCCTAACAGGGTCCTTAAACTCTCACTCTTCGAAGGCCCTGATGACAATGCTGGGCATTATAAAAAGCTTCCTGGTGAAGACAGAGGGCTCTGAAGACAGTGTTCCCCTGCCTCGGGTCCCCAGAACAGATTGGGGTGAGGCTGAGTCTCCACCCCTGTGTCTCCCCTACACTCCCATCCCTACTAGCCCTCACCTCCTCATTTGCCATGGCGGTCATCTTGGTCATCAGCGACTGAATACGTTGCTGAAACAGAAGAGAATAATGATGAGTGGTTCCGATCGGGTAAGACTAAAGCATGTGCCTGCATGGGTCTTTGTGGTGAAACCTCAGAGTTGCTATTTTAATGTGGGTTAACTGCAAACCTCATAATATTTCAAGAAAGGGAACTGTAAGGGTGGAAGGTAGCGTGAGAAAGCTGTGGATGGGAGCTAACTCTCTCCACAAACGACCAAACTGGAACCTCAGAGGGCCAGTACGTGCTACACACCTCTTCAGCTGCTTGAAGCTCATCTTCTTCATGTGCATCCGCTTTCTCTGCAGCTGACAGCCCTGCAGCAAGGGCTGTTTTCTTGTCCTCAGCCTGGAAGGGAAGATGAGGAAACAGTTGAGCATCAGAGTTGAAGACTCAGCAAAAACAAGACAGGCTTGCACAGAAAAAGCCTGTGGGGGGGAAAAATATCTGGGGCCCAACTGAAAGAGAATGGATAAGCGAGGGACTCCAGGTCAAGTTCCAGCCAGTTCTGAGGCAGGCCAGTCAGGCACGGGTTGGTGAGGCCGGCCTTGTGCCATGTCACATCTGCATGCTGAGCTTCAATCAATTCTCCCTGCTCTGTAGCTCTAGGATGCTTCTGTTCCTGGCCTGCAGATGTGGCAGGCTAGCAACATTGAGATGAACAAGCAGGGGACAAAGGTGACAGGTATATTCCCAGGGACCCTGCCTTCCCAGGACCTGGTGTTTGGTCAGCGGCACCCCCGCTACCCTGCCTACAGCTGTTGCCACCTTCCAGCCTAGGTATTTCTTACCTTCTCTGTTTTGCTCTGTCGACTAAATCCATATCTCCTGTAAGCCACAAGAAAGAGTTTAATTACTATTCAAAAATCACAATAAAGTCCCCCAAATGTATTTCTTCGGATGTCTCCCTCAGTCACTTTCCAAGTTTTCCCAAGACAGCATCTCTCGGTGAGCTCAGAGCTCACTAATTTAGCTAGAATGACTGGCCAGTGAGCCCTGGGATCCTCCTGTTTCTGTGCCCCAGCATTGGGGTTATAGGCTCACACCATCACAGCTGGCTTTCACAAGGGTGCTGGGCAGTGAGTTAGGGCCTTGCGCCTGTGTGGCAAACCAAGTAGGCCATATCCCTAGCCCTTGCTTAGATTGTTCTATGAAAAGATAAAATATTTCAAGCACCTTCCCCAGAAACATAATCTATCAGATTCTGAATATGGCCAGTCATGTTATCTGCTGTACACATGCTATAAAAGGAGACACTAAGATAATACAATATTCCTTAAGAACACTCGTTACTCTTGGAATCAGGAACTGCATCTCAGAACCACACTGCAAGCTAAAAACCTTATAAACATCTGTGTTAAAAACAAACAGACAAACTACATTTAAGGGCAACACACTTTAATATTACTTTAATGACTTCAAGTCATGCCCATATTTTCTTTTCAAACAAATACCAAACACAATGTCAGTAATGTCTACTTATCATGAAACCTTAACTTTGAAAGGTACACAGATGCATTTCAGCTTAAATTAGTTTTGTTTTTGGCTTAAAACAAAAACTATGCTTTAACAAAAATAAAGCAAATACAATAATAGAAAAAAAGACTCAACCAAAAGCAAAAGGTGCAATGCAGCCTTGCAGATCTTAGTTTGGAATAAAATCGCACGCAAGCATTTAAGAACAAAACAAATTAAGGTTTTGCTCTGCCCCTTCTCGGGGACACACCTTGACTGTGGGATCAGTGTGCAGCCCTCCCTGGTCACCTGCTCCTGAATGTCCACCATCCCCGGCCAATCTCACTAAGGTCTCCTCGGCAGCCTCCTGTCCTCGGGCTTCCTCAGTCCTTCATTGCTCCTTCCAGGCCCTGTTCTGCCTCATCCGAGCAGCTCTTGCTCCATCTACTGTCTGCAGAGAGCCTTACACAGTCTGCCCAGTTCTGCATCTGCCTCTTTGCTCTATGGAATGTCTCCAAGTGCACACATACAAAGCCAGGACCAGCCGCACAACCCCCCCCCCCGCCCACCTCCACTATGGTGGTTACGTGAGCAAAAGTCTGCACCCTTCTGATGGGTGATACTGCTTTTACAATTTGAATTTCTAATGTTTGTTGAATAAAAAAATACAAATGAAAGAAAATGCAGAAGTAAGATGACCTGAGCACTGCCTAACTTTGCAATAGGCTGCAACAGAACTGGAAAAGACCAAAAACGATATTGCTGGGCAGAGGGCCAAAGAACAGTGAATTTAATCTAAGGCTAAAGTGTGGGTCTCCACAGTCCTGCAGAGGACCTTATGGAAGCCTCTGTGGCTTAGGAGGTGCTGCCCGAATTAGCAGGGGTTAAAAAGCACATCCGAGTTAACGTTTTTCAAGGCACACCTACAACTCTGAGACATTGGAGATGGAAAGTTGTAGATCCTAAGCCCAAACACCTTGCCGTTATCCTGAACCTGCTTAGCAGTCAGTCACTGCCCACCTCTAACGTGATACAACCTTTTGGGATGAGTTTAGCATGCCACCAGCTTCCACTAGCCCAACAGCTAAGATTGGCACCAGACAGCATCCCTGCTCCACAGCACATCTCCTTGGTTTGTTAACACACCTATCTGATGTAATGGGGGAGGGGGCTTTTGTTCTATGGAGTTTCAGTAAACCATTTCCATGTAGGAACATGCTATTTTGGGAAACCTGAATCCATGTTCCTGGACCTTATTAACTTATTTAAGAATAAACTACTTTAGAACATCCCTTTTTCACCAACCAAAAGCTAAGAGTCACCAGACAACATCCATCTCTGACTATAGCTTCTCCAAGTAGGCTGTGAGCCCTATGCCAACCTAATGCTTCCACCAATGTATATAAAAAGTGCCTTATTTATGACATGGAACTGCTTCCATAGCAGAACCCAGAACTGGGGGTGACTTAAATCTGCGGCTCCAGGCCATGGTCTGGAGTCTGAGTGACTGAATCCCATGATTCAATCCCTGGGAGCTCCCAGTGCAGACAGAGGCCACAGCACAGCTTTATCACGTTCCCTTATCGTGTCTGTGTGTGTGTACCTCATTTTAAAGACAGCGTCTTTAAGACAGGCCTGGCGCTCACCCATCAGCCTAGGCTGGCTGTGGTGAGCCATGAGTATGTTTCTGCTTTCTAGCCCTGGAATGACAAGGAATGCCACCACATGCAGCTTTTACTGTGGGTTCTAGGGACTGAACCTTAGTCCTCATGATGGTAAAGAGAGCAGTTTACCAAAAGAGCCATCTCTGTATGCCTTCATTAATAATTTTTATCAAGAGGCCATGCATTTTAGTTTTGAACAGTTCCTGCCCCATCTCAAAATAATGTTGTTGGTCTGAACAGTCTCTAAACTGAAAAGCACTCAATTCTAGGCAGCAAAAGATGAGCTAAGAGGATGGCCATCACATGTGGTTTAGAGTCCACAGAAAAGACTCTATGGCTTCTAAAGCACACTAGTTTCATTGGTGGGAAGGAAAGAGATGACCTCAGACCATCACCTCAAAACAAGCAAATAATCAAAACCAAGCAAGTGGCAGGTGAGATGGCTCAGTGGGTAAAGACACTTGTCATGCAAGCCCGAAAACCTGAGTTTGATCCCTAGAGCCTACATAAAGATGAAAGAACTGAGTTGTCTTCGGACCCCTCTACATACACATATACACAAACACATACATCATGCCTTGCACTCAGTCCTCATCACACACACACACACATGCAAACGACAGTAAATACTGTCTTTCCTTGAAAAGCTAGAAAAGGTAAGTCTAATTTCCTCTCTTGTTTGCCACTGTTTCCCACAGGAAGGCACCATGAGACACTCAGAAAGAGGCTAGTGAGAAAGAGTTAGCGTCAACCACACAACAAGGGCCCGGACACAAGGGCAGGGAGCACAAAGCACATACTCACATCAAAGGATCGGTCACCCTGGGTAGAGAATGCAGGACACGGGGAAGGTTAATGTCCAGTGTTGACCAAGGCATTCAAAGGAAGGCCTGTCCTTGTACGTTTAAGAAAGTGAGGCTCTAAAAGTGAAACTCTTCCGTAAGGCCAAAATAACTGTAAGAATAGTAAAGCTTGCTCTTCAGATTGTCCCTTTTCCAGTCAGAGCACTCTTTGCCCCTCAGGATTACTGCAGGGTCCAGGGAGACTGCTGCGGGTGCTCTGTGGACTGTCTGTTTTAAAGGCGGACCAGAAAACACACCCTGGCCTCTGCACCAAGTTAGTTCCCCAAGGAGGTCAGAGAACATGCATGGCAACACTCTTATTTCCAGAACTACAGAGGCCAGGCTCAGAAATGGATCCTGAATGTCACAGGCAGACTCAATCAGGCAGAACCTAGCTTTCTTTTCTTTCCATGATACAGGGTCTCGATATGTAGCCTTGGCTAGCTTGGAACTCACTCTGTCGACTAGGCTGGCCTCAAACTCACTGAGATCTGCCTGCCTGTGCCTCCTGGGCATGCATCGCCACTCCAGCAGCCATCCAACTTTAATTCAAAAGAAATGGACTGTCAGCTTTCTTTCTTCTTTGTTTCTTTAATTTAGAAAGGAAAGACAGTTTATTAAGAAAAAAACACTCCTGGAGATGGGAGAGTGCTAGTAAGCTGATATAAAAACTCAAAAAGCCTTTGTGTGTGTGTGTGTGTACAGGAAAGTGGAGGCCAGAGGACTAAGTTGCTCAGGATTTGGTGCCCCTTGGTAGTCCACACCTTCTCCCTACAGGCTTGGTGCTCACCTAGTAGGCTTCGTTTAGGCTGGCTGGACAGAGATCTCCTGCATGTCCCTGTCTCTACTTTCCTAGCTCTAGAAAAACAAATGTGTGTCCCCATAGTGGACTTTTTTAGGTGGGACTGGGCACTGGAGTACTTGCTGTAAGGCAAGTACTCCGTTGGCTAAGTGACCACTCCAGCTTTTCTTTGAAATGGTGTCATAAAATAGGTTCTGACCAGTACCCACTCCGTACCTGCCGTATTCCAGAAGAGTGGAGTGGACTCGGGACTCCTCATCCAGCAGCTCCTCTGCTCCCCGCTGCCTTCTGTACTTTCGACGGGGCTTGTAAGCGTCCTGAGGGGATGAGAAAGGCAAGGTATGGAGCATGAGAGGCTGCCATGGACAGTGGCTGGGTGTCTCCTCCAGCCACTGGGGAGCAAGATGGGGGTACCCAGCCAGCTCACATCAGGGGCCGCAGGACACAGAGATTAGGTGTTATAATTCTAACTGTCAACTTGACACAGCCTAGAATCACCTGGGAAGAGAGTCTAGATCAGGCTGGCCTGTGGACATGCCTGTGGGGGCTGTTGTGACTGCCTTAATCCACGTGGGAAGACTGAGCCTGAACCTGGGCGGCACCGTTCCCCGAGGCAGGGGCCTGGACGGTAAAGGAGAAGAGAAAGCTGCCTGAGCGCTGTAGCTGTGTGCACCTCCCTGCTCTTGACTGTGATGTGACTAGCTGCCTTCAGTCTCAGTTCACCCCACAACGACGGACGGGAAGCTGGAAGCTCAAGCCAAAGAAACTCTTATTCTGTTTGTTTTGTTTTTGTTTGTTTTGGTCAGGGTATTTCATCACAGTAACAGAAAGGAAACGAGAGCACAAGGTTTAGGAAGCTCGGCGAGAGGCCATGCTGGGGCTGCCTCTGGCACCTGCAACGAGCTGAAGACCACAAGCCTCAAGTGCTGAGAGGAAGGACAGGACCTGCCACCAGGGCAGAAGTCACCGAAGAGAATGGCCTCTGCTCTTGTGGTTTCCTTCTCTTTCTCTCCTTCCTTCCTTTTCTTTCGTCCTTACATAGCTGAGAGTGGCCTTGAATTTCTGACCCTTCTGCCTCCAGCTCCAGAGTGCTGGGGTTACTGAAGCATGTTCTGTCATCTCCAGCTTCTGTCCATGGTGCTGAGGGACTGAGCTGAGGTCTTTTCAACAATGTGTTTCTTTAATTCCAGATTTTATATTGTGATTGTTAGTTTTAATTGTCAATGCAACAATTAGAATCATGTAGGAAGAGACTCCTAATAAAAAACCGTCTCGAGCAGGTCAGCTTGTGGTCACAACCAAGAGAAGGCTGGCTGAGAGTTAAGCACACATGCGCTCATTCTCTCTGTTCAGACAGTGAATGTGGCTGCTTTAAGTTCCTGCCTTGACCTATAATGGTGGACTGCAACCTGGAGCTGTGGCCTCAGACAAACACTCCCTGCCTTTCTGTTAGAGTGTTTTATTGTAACAACAGAAAGGAAACTACATCACGTAACTTACTTAATCGAGGAACAATAAAAACAAGCAAACACAGAAACGAAATACCTTATTATGTTATCCTCACCAAGCATATTCAGATTATACTTTATGTTTAGCCTTAAAAATATTTTTGGTGCAGTGAGTGGTAGAAAGCCATGTTTTTGTGAATGGAAAACAAAGGAGCACAGCGCTACCCATCTGGGATTCTAGACTTGTTACCTACAGAGCCACACACATGTATGGACTTCATAGAACTCATCTCTTCAGTGTTCCCTGTTTTACGATCACGCTTCCTGCCATCACTGTTTTGTTTTACCTAAATTCCTTCCTATTCTTATTCCAGCACCAGCTTGTTAAATTCCTGATGCAAACTCTTTGTTTTTATTAGAATCAATCCAAATTTCTAGATGACTTTGAAGAGCAGGTATCTTTATGACAATGTCTTGCTTTAAGATAAAGGTTTGGAAACAGGACTGGAACCTACCATAGATGTCCTCTGAAAAACTCCACCCAACAGGGAATCGAAGTAGATGCTGGGACTCACAGCCAAACTCTGGGCAGAGTGCAGGAAGAGTAAAGAGATAGTAGGACTCGGAGGGGACAGGAGCTCCACAAGGAGACCAACAGAGCCAACAAATCTGGGCCCAGGAGGCCCTTCCAGGACTGATGCTCCAACCAAGGACCATGCATGGAGAGGACCTACACACCCTGCTCAGCTGTAGCCCACAGGCACCACAGTCTCCATGTGGGTTCCCTAGTAAGGGGAGTAGAGGCTGTGTCTGACAAAGACTCAGTTGCCTGCTCTTTGATCCTTTCCCCCTGGTGGGGGTCCTTGCCAGAACACAGAGGAAGAGGATGCAGGCAGTCCTGATGAGACTTGATAGGCTGGGGTCAGACGGTAGGGGAGGAGGACTCCCCCTTTCTGAGGACTAGGGGAAGGGAAGAAAGGGGAAAGAAGGAGGGAGAGAGGGACCAGGAGGAGACAAAATTTAAAAAATTTTTGAAGAAAGAGAGAAAGAGACAGAGAAAGGTTTGTGTCTCCCATGATCTTCTGAACAGCCTGTCAAGTGAACAGTCATTATGTGGTTGACCTTCCCACAACCCCGGGCCACAAACCAGCTCACTATCAGACGTGTGTGTCAAGCAATCATCCTAAAAGGTCTCTACACAGTAACGGAAACTTCAATTTTTTCGGAATCTAACACCAGAACGTACGATGGTTGTGGTTTAACTGTAAACTGCCCCCTATAGGCTCCTGTGTTTGAACACTCGGTCGCAGCTGGAGCTTCTGTTTGTGATGATTCTGGAACTTCTGGGCGATGCAGCTTTCATGGAAGAAGTGTGTGACCTGGGGTGGCTTTGAAATTGGCCCCACTCTTGTTATCTCTGCTTCCTGTGTGGACAAAATGCAACCACTCTGCTTCGTGGCTGTCATGCCTTCCTCACCTTGATGGACTCCATCTCCGTGGAGCTGTGCAAACCAGAATAAACCCTTTCTTACCTTCGCTGCTTCTGTTTGGGGTATTTTGTCACAGTAGCAGAGATAAAACACTCCAGAGGGCCACAGCTGAAACAAAAGTGCTCTGGAACTTGAATATCAAAAAGCTTAAGGAAACTAAAATGTCCTGTACATTTTTGCTGCTTCAAAATTATTAAGAATTTTTCCCCTCTTTTATGACAAAGTCTTGCTTTATTTATCCAGGCTAGCCTCAAACTCCTTGTTTCAAGAAATCCTCCAGATCCGGTGGGACTACAGACACATGCCTGGCTACAGTTGTTTTCGTTATAAACGTACAATATAACGAATATAAGTCTACTTTATATGGCACACCTTCTGGTTGAATGTGCACATACATATGTACATATGTACACATTTGACATACGTGTGGCATACAGTACACATCCAATAATCACTAGTGCCCACGTCCTGATGGCCTCATTTGTCAGTTCACCCCCAAGAGGTATCCTATAAGCCCCTTCAAACAGTAGCACTGTACTCCAGTTAGAGCTGTTCCCTGGAGATGACCCAACTTACTAAGTCCTAGTTTACTTTTCTTTATGAAAACTTTCGCTATCCTTAACATGCATAATCTCAAAATTTTAAGCATGTATTTATTGTACGTGTGTTCATGCTTGTGCATGTGGAGATCAGAGGTCAACTTGTGGGAGTCAGTTCTCTCAGGACTGGCAGCAAGGCCCTTTTTCCACTATGCCATTTCACTGGCCCTTATCACATTTTGCAGAAAATATCTGGCACAATGCTTGAGGGCTGTTCTCGTAAAGTTTTACCACAAATATCCCCTAGTTCACCCCCAGTGTCTCTACAAATAGCAAACTATAAATAGCATAAACCAGACTCACACAAAAATGAAAACTAGAATGAACCCTTGACACTGACTGCATGTAATTTAATTCCCACCAAGCTCTCGTGTTATAATAGCACTGCATAATTGAGCTTAACTGCTATTCTCCTCTGTTACCATTGAAAGAGCCAATGACTCAAGACAGGAAATTGGATTCTTCTAAAAAAAGACTTCAAAACAATAGCATAGGGAAACCCAGAGCCAAGGGGACCGCTCGCTCTGCACACAGATGGTAGGCTGGCTGTGTACACTTTTAGTATGTACCTTCATATGCACCTTAACCTTTGATACTGTGAAAGTATTATGAAGCAGAGGCAGAGGCAGAGGCAAGGCACATGCTATTACTTTTAATTTACTGCTGAAGAAGCAGGGGCTGGGCATGTGGCTCAGTTGATAGAGCACTTGCCTAGCATTCGTGAGGCCCTGGCTTCCAGCCACAGACCTGCATAAACACGGTGTGGTAAAATACACCTGTAACTGAGCACTCATGAGGTAGAGAAAGAAGATTAGAAGTTCAGTGTCATCCTCAGCTATATAGTGATGTCAAGGGCAACGCAGGGTAACATGAGACCCTGTTTCAGTAAAACAAAACAAAACAAATCCAACAAATGAAATAATTTGTCCAAGATCCTGGGATATAGTATTGGGTCTAGGATGGCATTAGCCTAAGATAGCATTAGCCTACAATAACATTAGGATTAGGATAGCATTAGGCTAGGATAGCACTGGACTAGCCTAAGATAGCATTAGCCTACAATAGCATTAGGCTAGGATAGCATTAGGCCAGAATAGCACTAGCCCATTAGCCAGGTCTTCCCACGTCAATTAATAATTAAGGCAACCCCTCCCCAACAGGCCAACCTGTTCTAGACACCCCCTCATTGAGACTGTCTTCCTAGGTGATGCTAGACTGTGTCTGGCTGACAATCAAAGCTGACCGTTGCAGCATCTCTGGCAGACACTTTTTAGTCGAGGAGCTATACATACATGTGCTTCCCACCCAGCAGGGCTCCACAGGTGCTTACACCAAGTGCCATGCCCCACCCCAAAAGCAAACAACTGTAATTTACCAGTGCTTTCCTTCTTTTCTAATTTTTACATTAATAAAGAAGCAAGCAAATCAAGGCCGCTGGGTACTAAGTGACAGAGATGTGGAGACAAATGGACAGTATTCATTTGTGCGTGCTGTTCCAGACACAGCCCCAACCTCATCCCGGGCCTGGGCTTCCCGTGAGCAGAGCTCTCCTGCAGACCCAACCGTCTTCTCACAGATCCAGCACGGGTGCCACGTCCAGGCTCTGTGAGTCTGTACCACATTGTGCCACTAAGCTGGGTACATTGGTGCATACCTGTAACCCTGGCACTTAGGAGGCTGAGGCAGGAGAATTACCACAATTTCAAGGAAATTGAGGGATACACAGTAAAACTCAGTCTCAAGAACAAAACTCTCAAGATTTTCTCTTACTTCCCGCTTCAAAACAGAATGGAGCTGACAAGACAAAGAAGTGTAACATGGCACAGAGGGTTACACCTGAGTTCTTCATGTCTTCTACCATCAAGTGACATGTGCCTTTCAATGTCATCACTTTGGGACAACGCAAATTCAGGTCCAGAATTATTTTTTCTGTACAGATTCCTGAGCCAGCTCACAAAGCCATATGGGCCAGGCAAACTCAGCTTCTCATTTTGCTGCAACCTGGGCATCAGCATTAAACACACAGTTGCTTTTTAAGCTGGGTGGCCTATTACTAATCAGCACTAATTCAAACACCAAAACAAGTAACTCAGCTGGGGTAAGGGCTCTGTGGGTAAATGCACCTGCCATGGCGGCATAACGACTTGAGTGTATATCCCTAGAAGTTTACATCCCTACATTAAAAAAAAAAAAAAAATGTATAATTTGAGTATCTTTAATCTTAGCACTTCTACAGGGAAATAGGCAGCGGAGACAGAACAATCACCAGAAACTCAGACACTCTCAGGCCTGCTGCACAGCCCCAAAACCAGGCAAAACACCCCATCTTAAACAGGGTGAGAGGTGAGGATAGCACCCGAGTTGTCCTCTTACCACGGCTGAATCCTTGCGAACCAGACATGTAGAATGTTAGACATGCCAGATACAATGCTAATGTGATGTAATGTTAGACATGCTAGGACAAAATAAAGTCATAAACAGAGGCACAATGTGCCGTGTGCTGCTTCTAGGAGAGAGAGACTGCACCAGACATAGAGCCTTTATTCTCTTCAGCTCAAAGCCCGAGGCTGCGGTCTCCCGGCTCTGTTTCACAGCATCTTAACAAAGCTCCCCACCCCCACTAGGGAAGCAGCTCATGTGCACAGACTCAGTATCAGAATGCACCCGTATGGTGGCTTTCCTGCATAGACTCAAAGCTACTTTGTCTTCCCAAAGCCCGAGTGGGGATGGGGCAGGAGGAGGCGGGGCAGTGAGTTCCATTCACCATACACGGTGGTTCATCGTCTGTTCCCTAGGGCTGTGCAGTTGTTCCTGACTCTGATGGAGGAAGGGGAGCTTTGCATGCTGATTTTTATCCCTGAAAACCAGAACTAAGGACTCAGGGCACGTCGGTGGGCTCCTGTGTCCTGGTGTGTGTGTCCTGAGTGTGTAAAGCAGGTAGGGATGCTAGTATACATTCTCTGCTGCCTGCTCCTGGGTGACGTGTGACTTCTAGAGGGGATGTTTGGAGGCTACACAGTACCAGGGCAGATGCACAAGAACAGGGGGACGTACCGAGAGGTCAACAACGGTCTTGATGGCCTTGTCTTTTCTCTTTAGGAAGTCATCATCCTGCAAGACAGAACACAGGAACTCAACCAGTTCTACTGAGGACTAAAATCAGCTGGACGTGCCAATCTCCCTTATCGAACAATTGTTCATTGCTGCTGTGCATGAAGAACTCCAAATCTGCTTGTTAAAAATTTCTATATGTATGTGCATGTTCCTGTATGCACAGGTGCATGCATGCGTGGGGAGTCAGGAAGATTACCAAAGCTGTTCTTCCTCAGAATTGTCCACCCTTTACTTTTTTGGCAACAGTCTCTCACTGTTCTTAAACTGGCCAAGTGAGCTAAGCCGGGTCCCCTGGGAGCCTTAGGGACCTGCCTGTCCCTACTTCCCCAGGATTGGTAGGACAGCCTGGCTCCTAAAATGTCAGTCCAAGAATCACAGTCGGTATCCCCTGCTTGCAAGGCAGGTGCTTTACCAACTGAGCTAGCTCCCCAGCTCTCAATTTTCTTATTAATTGGAATATATCTCCCATGGGAAGAAGCTAGAACCTCTGCAAATAACGCCAACGGGGCCTTATAGGCAGGAAGAGAAAGGGAGGCTACGGAGAGTAGGGGTTAGACAAGCAGCCTCTGCCCAGTCCTTCAAAGCACTAAACGCTTCGGTAAGTCACCTCAACTCCAAGCTTCAGTTCTTCCATCGCCTGTACAAAGGAACAGCTGCCAGGATGAAAATGGAAGGCAGTGATGTGCTAAAGTATTCGATGGTGCTTAGTGTTCTTATTGTTGCAATTACTATAAACCAAGCCTGCGGGAAATGTGCTACACAAGTGTTTTTTACAAAAATAGAATCGTGGGCCGAGGAGATGGCTCCGTCAGTAATGTCTTGTCCCACAGGCATAAAGACCTGAACTGGATACAGCCAGAACCCACGTAAAAAAGTTAGGCAAGGCGGCACACATTTGTAATCCCGGCACTGGGAGGTAGGGACAGGAGGACCAGCCAGTCTAGATGAATCTATTAGCTCTAGGTGCAGAGGGAGGCCTAGCCCATAATGTAAGAGAAAAGAAAACAGAAAAAAAGTGGAGTGACTGAGGGAGCTACCTGAGGTCAATCAGGTACACACATGCATGCACTCGACCATATACATAATACGCACAAGCTTTTGCAATTTAGTGAAAGTTCTGAGTCAAACACTGAACTTGAGGAGAGAGAACAATAAAACTGTAGAGATTTATCCTCATCAGCCATCTAAAGAACACTTCTAAGTAACCACAAGGCTGCTCAGAGGTGCCGAGAGGGGGCAGGGCGCAGGAGAGCTGCACTCTCTCTACCCTAGGACTCTCCCGTGCGCACTCACCGCCTGTGAGAACAAGGAAGGAACAGCACACACACATTTAGCCAGAGATGCTTCTTCTGCAGCGGACAGCTGTTAATAACAAGAATTAGGACCAGCCAAAGTGCTGAGAATGCCTGTTGAGTGCTCACCCCTAAATGGGACACATATGCCAACTGCAGGATAGAGTATAAATGGGAGAGCTCGGAGAGGATCTGTGCTGGTGGCTGCCCCCCCTCCCCGCTTTTGCTGGTTTGCTGGACTTGCCCCTAGAAACCCGACCCCCTGATCAGCAGGAAGAAGTCGAAACAGGGAATAGGCCCCCATTCCTTTAACCTTTCTCACCTACCTAGTGTTGGGGGTTGGAAGGGATTGGGGTAGAGAAGAGTGGTAGATATAAGAACCCAATAAAGTAGCCTAAAAAAAGTACACCTAGACACAGCTGCATGGCTCAGGGGACATCACAGAAGAGAATGCATAAAGAATTTAAGAACTGGAGGATGAGGAAGAGGGCGGTGGAGTACATGACATGGCCTCTGCACTCACAAGCTCACTGTGACTCCCAGCACAGGATCAGCCAACAATCCAGCAAGGAGTACCAGCTGCACGAGTGGGGTAAGAGAAAACGAGGGAGGAGAGCATGATGTGAGAAGGCAACATGTGGACACGCTGTCCATGCTGGGCAGGAAGGAGCTGGAAGTAGGTGTGATCAAGATACACCTCATACATGTATAAAATTAAAGATTAGAAGAAAACCCAGCAAGCTGAAGAGGTGGCTCAGGCGCAAGAGCTCTCAATGCTCTTACAGAGGACACCAGGTGCTTCCGAGCACGCATGTCAGGTGGCAGGCACACGGCCTCCTGTAACTAGCTTCAGGGAACTCCTCAGGCACTTGCATTCATGAAAACACACAAACACACACAATCCAAATAAAACAAATCTAGAAAAGAAAAAAAAAATTATGCATACCAGGACTGAAAATACCTAGTAAATAAAAAGAAGAAAGTGGAGCACAATACTGACCTCTGGGAGACTGTAGGTCTTCTGGAACTGGGATATAGAATAGGATCGGATGTAGTCACCCATTTCTTCCTTTGTTTCTATAGCTCGTTTCACCAGCCACTGGGGAAGAAAGTGAGGAAGTGTGAGGTGACAGGAATGGACTCCTAGTACAGTGGAACTGCGCAGCCTGGGAAGCCAAGTCAGCACGACTGACCCGAGCAGGTGAGAAGAAACCATGAGCACACCCCGTTCCACGAGAAGGGCAACCAGCTGGGCATCTGAGATGCCAAGATCCGGTGACCTGATGTGACCAGCCCTAAGAAACTGAGCAGCGTCTGACAGCTACAGGCCTGTCTGCCTCTGTCAAGGGAAGGGAAAATCCTTTGGCATTCTTTTGTCATGTAGCTCAGGCTGACCTGAAACCCACTATGTAGCTGAGGATCTCCCCAAGTGCTAGGACGACAGGCATGTGTCCATCTCTTGCTTAAGCCTTGCTAGGGATGGAACCCACAGCTTACTGCATGCTGGGCAAGAACTCGACTAACTAAGTGAAATCCCTAGCTCTCAGTTCCCTAATGCTCTCTTATTCTCTCTCTTCACACACACACACACACACACACACACACACACACGCACGCACGCACGCACGCGCACACACGCACGCACGCGCGCACGCACGCACGCACGCACGGGTGCTTTGCCTGCAAGCATATCTGTGCACCATGTGCACACACTGCCTAGAAAAGTCAAAATCCTCTACACCTGGAGTTGCAGATGGCTGTTGGCTGCCATGCCGGTGCTGGGAGTTGAAACCGCATCCTCCGGAAGAGCAGTCAGTGCTCCTAACTGCTGAGACCCTTTTCCAACCCCTCCATATTTTTATTTATGCACACGTGAGTGCATGGGGAAGGGCAGCACATAAGTGAAGGAGCCTGCAGAAGCTAGCAGGGAGCACTGGATCCCCCAGAGCCAGAGGCACCCTGGGTGTGAACTGTGATGTGGGTGCTGGACACTGGAGTCTGGTCCTCTGAAAGAGCAGTGAATGCTCTTAAGAGCTGAGCCATCCCCAGGCCCAGCTTAGCATCTATATTGAAAGGATCAGACTAACTTTGTAACCTATATGTCTTCTAAAGCCTATAGTTTTAAGTTTTAGGTCCAGGTTAAGCTAAAGCCTCTTAGTACCTTTCCAGAGAACAAAGGAATGTGACTCTATCTGTGAGGACAGATATAAAAAAGAGAGCAAGCAATGACCTTCACTCAGCAAAAAGAATGACCAGACCCTTGTCTTCAAGATAGTGTTTCTTAGCAATCAACCTAGATGGCCTCAATCTTTCTCCTGAGTAGACCCAAAAGCCCGCAGCCCCATCCTCAAGAATGAGCTAACCACCCCCACCTTCAATTGCAGCTGCATCCACACTTGGCTGGACTGGCCAAGCTTGAGCACCTAAGACTAACCAATTATCTTACTTTATAACTTCCTCATCCAATCCTAAATTGCCAAGACTGCAACCTCAAAATTCCCACGCCTTGTCTTTTAAAAACCCAAGGCCTTTGTCTCCCGGGGCCACTCCTTGCTGACCAGCAGGGGTGACCTCATTGCACAATGGCTAAAATAAACCTCTTGCGATTTTGCATTGATGAGATCTGGTCTCCTGAGTTCTCTTCATCCTTTCTGAATATTAGGCTCATGCTGGGCCTAACAATATATTCTAGATAGCGAAGAACTACAACAGGAGCAAAGCAACTCAACATTAGAGCTCTTCGTGAACAACTGTGAACAACGAAAGCTCAAGGTGCCTGAACTCACAGAGCTCCTTCTACCTCTGCCTCCTGAATGCTGGGATTACAGGTGTGCCACCACAGCTCGGCTTCAGCGGCTAATCTTAATGGCAACGTTTTTTTTTTTTTTTCTGTTTGTTGCAAGAAGAGAGAGAGTATCATAGAGAACGCTTGGGGTGCGACCTCTCTTCTGTCAGATGAAGGAAATCCTGGGGGGGGGGGGCAGGGCTGTATTAGAGTAGGTATGAGTATTGGGCCTAAGGCGCTGGGATCACAGAAGGGAACATTCTCAGAATTCTTGTGACATTTAAGGTAGATGGTCCTGAGTTTTCTAGAACCTTACACAGAGACACTACATTACTTTGCTCAATGATCTGTAGCTACAAAGATAAAGCTGGGCGGTTTTCCGTATCAGGTGGCTGAAAAGCCTGCGTTTTACTATGGTTCCCAGTCCTATGAGGCTGGTATCTGGAAGAAGCTAGCTCTGCTCTTCCTAGTTTCTGACTTTAAAACTCATGTAATTAAAATTGAAGCATGCTGTTGTGTAACATTTTCTTCCATGATTGAAACAGGAAAGGTAAACAACTCAAAATAACACCAGGAAGTCCCTGAAATTGACCAGATTCACTAGCCTCCACCCTGCCAGAGTAAGCAATAAACGCTGAAAAGGCCACTAGGACACAAGGAAGCCAAGCTACAAAGAAGACTCTGAGTGCGAACCGGCAGCCTAGAAGAAGCAGAAAGCGGGGAGCTGCTGGAAGAGGGTTAGACCGGAAGGATGCTCTCCAACTTAATGAGCTGCCAGGAGGCTGTGCAGTGTGCTCCAGGCTCCCAGCTGCCTTCGAGGCAGCTCCGTCCCTGCAAGTAAGCCCTCACCCACATTCCTGTAAGTAACTCTAAGAGTATCCTTCAGTTCAGGCTGAACTTTGGTGCTATCTGTACTTTGGTCTGCTGTGGGCTCCCTATCTGAGGTGAGTAGCAATATGTGGTATGTCTCCCCAGAAAAAGTTTTGCCATATAACACTTGTACCAACACAAATATGCATATCACACACATGCTCGAATTCATTCACATACTGACACACACACACACACCATGGACAGTGCACACACTGAGCCTCCTTTTTATTCCTGCTCTCCATTCATTCTTTCCACCATTAATGAACACATCAGAAGAGAGAACCTTTTGTCAGAGTTACCAGCTCCTCCTCAGAGAGAAGACCTCCATCCTCAAAGCTATTTGGGGACAGTGTGGTTTACCAGGCTCATGGCATACTTGGCCAGGTCCAGTTGCCTAGGCACCTAGATATGTGGCCCATAGCAAGGTACTCCGGGGGAAAGTCTATAATCTGTTTTTATTAACTAAATGCAGTATCTTGATTATAGACGTTGGAGAACTTCTCATCTTCCAACCTTTATGTGGGTTCTGAATTTAGGTCATCTCAATAATTCAAATTACGCTTGTGTAGAAGGCTGCCAGCACAAGTAAGAGACATCATTAGGCAGCAGCTGCCCAGAATAGGTTGGCCTCAAGAGCATGCTACACAGCACAGACACCATGGGAGGCATCCCTGTGCTGTGTACACCCTGGGAGGACCACCCCTTCTGTTATTAGCATCTTCCACTCTCTTCCAGTTTACCACCAGCCCCACCGCCAGAGACCGTGGACACTGCTGAAATCATAAACAGAGCAGGAAGCACTAGCATTAGCCTGTACTCGAGCCTCCTCCATTCCCACCAGGAACCATGGCCCCGGATTATATGGTTCTGTCCCAGTTCCTTTTTGTTTCTGTGACAGAAAAATCTCAACAAAAAAACAGGAAAGCAAAAGTTTACTCCTTCTCACAAGTACAGGTTACAGTCTATCTCTGTGAGCAAGTCAAGAACTTCAAACAGCTAGTTGCAGCTCGTCCACAGTCTAGAGCAGAGAGAAAGGAATATGTGTACAGCTAGTGTTGAGCTGTACTCTCTTCTCCTCAAGAGTCTGGGACCCACGCCAGGAACGGCGCTGCTCCCTTTCAGGCTGGGTCTTCCCACATCAATTATAACAAGCAAGACACTCCCTCACAGACACGCCCAGAGGCCAAGCGGATCTACAGTCCACTGCTGCTCCCTTCCAGTGCGATTCTAGGTGGTGTCATACTGAGGAGAGCACTAACCGTGTAGCCAGGCAGTGGTGCTCCACACCCTTAAATCCAGCATCTGGGAGGTAGAGGCACAAAAATGTCTTGAGTTCAAGGCCCACCTGGTCTACTGAATTCAAGGACAGCTAGGGTTACAGAGAAACCCTGTCACAAACAAACCAACAAACAAACAAGTGCAGAGATGCTGCGTGATGGATCATGTGATCTGGGAGAGACGTCTGCGTCCCAGCATCCTCTCAGAGAACCTGCTCTCCAGTCCCCAATATCAAAGAGAATGGAGGGAACCCCCTAATCAACAGTCACTTTCTACCGTGACTCCTCCAGCCTTGAAAAGAGTGCCTACGTTTACAGACTCAGATGCAGTTATGGAAGGAAAAAAACATGTCTTAGCCAGCTTGTCTAGTCTGCTTGGCAAGCAGACACCTAAGGATCAGTGTCCTCTGGCTTTCACATGCATGCACACACGTGTATGCCCACAGGCACAGATACCCACACACACCCGTGTGCCTTCACACATGTGCACCTCCACACTCATGCACCTACAATCACATGTGCACTGATAACATGCACACACAGCAAAACACACATACAAAAAGGAAAACAAAAGCCACTGATGGGAACAATTAAGATCACAGCAGAGGCTAATGTAAAACTATGACAGATGAAGGACGAGCTGCTTTTTGGGAATGACGGCAAAAATCCCTATCAACCATCCTGCACCAAATCCACAGTACATCCAGGATCCAGGCTGGGCTGTGAGAGCCAGATGTGTTCCAGGGACTCTTAGTACGAGGCAAGAATCCACACAGAAGCCCTCACCTGCACGACAGGGAATATGTGGATAAAATCCATGCCCTGGATCTGGTGGGGCTCCAGCTGGTGAGGACACTTCATCCTTGGGAGAACCGAGACAATCTTTTCCGATAGAGCTCTGTCCAGGAAAAAGCAACAAGCAGAGTCAGGACACACTGGGTGGCTCTACAGACATCTCTAACATCTGGTACTCTAGACATCTGGCCTAGTGTGGGTAACAGTGACATTTGGCCAGGTTCATCTTCATCCCCGTGGACCGGCAAGAGAAGCACTAGTTGTGTGCATGTAAGGTCACAAAACGATTCTTCTCAACGTTATCACTATTTCTTTTTCTTTTTGCTTTTTTAGGCAAGGTCTTGTGCAGCCCAGGCTGGCCTCAAACTTGCTAAGTAAACAAGGATGATGCTCCTGCCTCCACCTGGGTGCCTCCACCATGGTGGCATGTGCTGTTTATGTTGGTGCTGGGGAACTGTGATGGACGCCACACTAGGACAAGCATCTCTGCTGGCACCAGGCCCCAGCTCAGTGAGTCCCTATGATCCACACACCACCACGCGCTCCCTCTAGTGGGCCACCATTTGGTAGCTTAAAATCCAGAGGACACACAGCCAACCATCTTGTCTGCCTTTCCAGAAGTTTCTCCCTGGCCACTCCTCACGGCCAGCTTAATCAAGCAATTCATAAACACCCGGAGGGGAGGATACAGCAAGTCATTCTGAGGTTTATGAGCCTCTTAAAACTGCCTCCCAGAAGCTACAGACGGTCTCAGCAACAAAAGTAGGAGTGGCTGCCAACAGGAACCCCAATGGCTGGAGCAATAGGGAAGGAAGCGCTGGGACAAGTGTTGGGGTGGGGGTGGGCAGGGCACGGACAGAACAGGGCAAGGAAAAGAAGTCAGGAAGACTTCATAGAGACTTTCACCAGCTACCCTCTGCTTTGCTCAGGAACTCAGACTTCCTAAAAAAACCAGGAGAACTTTTTTCTGAACAGTCAGAACTTCCTAAAAAGTCCCAGTGAGCTTTGTCAGCCTGACACAGCTTGGAGTCATTTGAGTACGCCTCCCAGATGACACTGGCCTGTGTGTGATTAGGGGATTGTTCTGTTCACTGCTATAAGAGTGCCCATGTGGGGAGCACCATCCTAATGCAGGTCACCTTGGGGTGTACAAGAAAGTTAGCTAAGCGTGAGTCTGAGGGTGAGTGAGCAAGCGGGACTCTGTCATGGAAACTGTTCCCATTCCTGCTGGAGTTAACGAGACTGTGACCTGCAAGCCAAATAAATCCTTTTTCCCCTAAGCTGCTTTTGATCATGGTGTCTACCACAGCAACAGAACACATTCAATAAAACTAGTGTAGGTCACCAGGCAAGCTTCCTGAGAGTTCAGACTGAGAGTTTAGTCTGACCACTGTCGTTACAGACTACCAATCTCACAATTTAAGGGCATCTTCCCATTAGACAGGCTCTCGCTCTGCTGCCAAGGAAAGCCTGAAGTTGTAATCCTCCTGCCTCATCTTCCGGAACGCCTGGGTTACAGGTGTGCACCACCACATCCAGCCAACTCATTTCAAGCTGTGAGTGTTAGACACACTTTCCTCCTGCACAGCAGTCAGTTTGTCGTGGATCTAAACGCCAGCCCTACCACCACCTGTGGGACTAGCAGCAAGTCATCAGCTCCTTGGTCAGACTGACCCATAACAAAATGAGAAGGAACTGGGACAGCGAGATGGATCAGAGGGTAAAGGCGTTTTCGGCCAAACCTGAGTCCAGTCTCCAGGACCCACAGGGTGCCAGGAGAGAAGCAACTTTTACATGTGTTCAACGCCACATGCAAGCAAGCTCTGGAGCACGCACACATATACACAGGGCTGGGAAGAGGTCCCCTTTGCTGGAGCCCTCTCCCCTCCAGCCTCAGGCCCACAGCACCATCCTGCAGCACCTCACCTACAGCTGCAAATGCCTCCCGCGGCGCTCCTCCCTAGTCTCTGCCCCAGCTCTAACTGTTCCCAGCGCTGATGCCGCTTCCATATATATTTACTCCTTCAAGATTTACTTTTTGCTTTTTGATTATAGGTATGTGTGGCCAGAAAAGGGCACTGGATCCCTTGGAGCTGGAGTTATGGGCTGTGCTGGCTAGTTTTGTGACAACTTGACATGAGCTGTATGCAGTCATTTGGGAAGAGGGAATACCAGCTAAGAAAGTACAGCCACTAGAAGGACCTGTGGAAAAGCCCGTGGTCGTTTTCTTAATCAGATATTGACGTGAGGAGAGCGGGCACAGCGCATTGTGGATGGGCTGTATTTGAAAGCAGGCTGAGCACGCCTTGGAGAGCAAGCCAGCGTGCGGCACCCGCCTCCAGGCTCCCGCCCTCACTTCGTTCTAAGATGAACTGTGATGTAGAAATGTGAGTAAAATAAACCCTCTCCTCCCCAAGCTGCTTTTGGTCGTGGTCTTTATCATAGCAGGAGAAAAATAACTAAGACTCTGTTGTGGGCTGCCCAGCTTCGGGGCTGAGGACTGGACTCTGCTCTTCTGAAAGAGCAGTACGCATTCTTAACCACTAAGCCATCTCTGCAGCCCCACATTTTACTTACTTGCTATCTGTAGTGTGTGCCATGCTGATTATAAGCTTTGTGAAGGCAGGGCACTTCTCCTTGGTGTCCCCAGAGTGCCCGAATAATGCCTGACCCCCAGTATTAACACAGACTTGATAAATATTTATTGAAAGGATTAATTAAGTTCTTTTCACCTGATACTTGCAATTTTCTCTTTTAAGAATTACCATTTACTCTGGCAAGATGGCTCAGTGGGTTAAGAAGCTTGCTGCCAGGCCTGACAAACTGACTTCAATCTCTGGGACCTAAATGATGGAAAAAGAAATTGACTCCCTCAAGTTATCTTCTGGTCTATCTCTCTCTCTCTGTCTCTCTCTCTCTTGTCTCTCTCTCTCACACACACACACATAATTTTTAAGTACTATTAGTTTGAAGAATTGTATTTTCTTTTTTTTTTTGATCCTATCCCTGTATTTAGTAATTACTATAAAAAGTTATACATTTAAGAATCTACCTGAAGATCAATCAAATGACCTGTCTTCATAAATGCCCTTACCATTCTGAAGGCAACGTTAGGATGGTAGTTGGAGATAGAAGGTCAAATAGAAACGTTAAAAAGTCTTCTCTAAATTCTTAGACTCCAGGAGAAACTAATGATGTTAATGGGTTAAGGATCAGAAGTTGGGAGGACAGCTTGGCAAGTAAAGGAAACATAAGCCCAAGGACCTTCAAGGTACTCCTAAAACCCATAGGGTGTGGGGTGAAGGGAGGGGGAGGCAGACATGGTGATGCACCACTGTACGTACCCCAGCACTGCAGAGTGGAGACAGGCAGTGCCCTGGGCACACTGGCCTGCAGCCTAGTCTAGTTGGCAAGCTCCAGGCCAGTGAGAGACCTTGTCTTTAGAAAGGTAGACAGTGCTTGAGGAAACACACACATGCATGCCTACACATACCAGATCAAGCACAGCCTTATAACATGAGAAATAAAAAGTATGTGTATATAAACATAGGAGCACCAACTCCATCATAAAGACCCCCCCCCCCCCCCCATTAGATTCTTCTACGGCAAGCCCTGGGAACTTACATTTTTTGACCAATTGTAGAGTTTTCCTGAAAGAGTAAATCAACATCCACATCGAAGTTGCAAGTGGTGATACACCACGTCATTCCTCCTACTACCTGTAAGAAAGGAGAATGCTGTTTCTCAGGAGCCCCGCCAGCGGAGAGGCGGCAGGGTGCAGACTGAATTCCTAAACAGTTTGTACACATTCAGTAGCACACAAAACTAAATCCCAGTGTGTGTGCATGTGTGCTTGAGAGAGAGAGAGACAGAGAGTGTGTGTGTGTGTGTGTGTGTGTGTGTGTGTGTGTGTGTATAAGCAAGATACCAAAGTCTGGTAGAGATCCTCATGCTGCAGACCTTGTTTATTGAGACAGGGCCTCTCACTGTCCTGGAACTAACTTGACCACTTGATTTGGCTGGCCGGCCAGAGAGCCTCCTGTATTTTTCTGTCTCTATGACCCTAGTGCTGACGTAACAAGTGTCTGTGGCAACACGCAGGTTTTTATATGGATCCTGGGACCTGAACTTAGGTCCTCACGCACACATAGCACTTTCCTTACAGCTCTCTACAGCCCTCCCAAATAATGGATCTGTAGAGTGTCTTCCCAGCACTGTCCTAAATCCTTCTGCCGTGGGGCAATGTCCGTCCCTGCACGTGTGCTCCAGCAGCTACAGGCCCTGGCTGGTTACTGAGCATTCATAGTGCTGCCAGGATAACTAAAAAGCTGACTGTAATCATGAAATCGTCTTATCACTCACTACTCCTCTTTCTAGGGAAGGGTCAGATAGTATGTGTTCAAAGATTTCTTTTGTCATGGGATAAGTGTGTGTGTGTGTGTGTGTGTGTGTGTGTGTGTGTGTGTTTTCACCTGTTCATGGCCACATGGAGGCAGAGAGACACCAGGTGACCTCTGGGGTTCTATGCCTTGGCTTTGGAGATAGGGTCTCTCACTAAGCCTGGAGCTCACCATGACCAGAGAGCCCCAGGGAGCCTCCATTCCCCAGCATGGAGATTACAACTGTCCACCACCATGACTGGCTCTTATGTGGAGACTGAATGAGATGCTCACACTTGTACACCTAGCACTCTACCCACTGAGCACATCAGCTGAGAGATATCTTAACCCAGTTTCTGACACGTGCCAGATGGAGAGAGATTATGTGTTTTACCGACCAGCATTGTGGGCAACAAGGCGGACATAGTCTGGCTCCTTACTGAATAGCTGAGATGTACAATAATATACACATTTCCAGGTCCCTAGCCCAGGCCCACCTATGCAGTCTCCCCAGCCTGAGAAAATACTCTCTTGCTTGTTTACCTTTCTCAAAACATTGTGCACAGAAAAGGAATCCAATTGCATCTATTGACTGATAATTCTCTTTGAAGAGGGATCTGAGTATATCCCTGAGGAATCTGTATTGGGAGGAATGGAATCAAGGGTACAAAGGAAGTGAAAAACCACCACTTCATCCTCCGTTACCTTGGTTAATCTGCTATCCTTCACAGAAATAGCGTACCTTGTCAAAAGGAGACAAGCCTTTAATTCTTGCTCTGAAATACCCAGCTGCAACCAAGAGCTCCAGAATTTCAGTCAACTTGACATTTTGTTCTTCATCTTCTCTTGTTTCCACCTAGAACAAAAGGGATGTGTGTAACTGGTAAAGACCTTGACTGAATGGAAACAAAATATATCCTTTCTGGTGGTACCACAGTAGAACTGCCAAGAGTCTCATGACTCTGGCTGAACTACTGCACTATTTTCTCAAAGCTCTTAAGGTGGCTCAGGGGACACAGTGCTTATCATATTAGCATGAGGACCTGAGTTCAAATCCCCAGGACCCATGTAAATCCTGGGCAGGCTTAGCGGCTCACCTGTGACTCCAGCACTTGGAAGGCAAAGACCACAAGCGAGCTATTAATAGCTAGGCTAGTCCAACGAATAAACTCTGGGTTCGGCTGAGAGGTCTCGCCTCAATGAATAAGGTAAAGAGTGACTGAGGAAGACCCCTCAATGTCAGGACTCCACATGCACTGGCATACAAGTACATGCACACCCACACATACACATGTACTCACACACATGTGACAGTCCATACACATACACACAGACATGTATAGACACCACACATAAAATGGACACACACATATACAAATAAATAAAATAGGAATTCTTCACGTATTCAGCCATCACGTGCCATGAAAATACTGCCAAGAAGAGGCCAACACATCCCAGAAGGACCCTCTCCTACCCCAGTGCACTGTGTATAGCATTCCTGCAGGCTGCCTATGGCTGAGGCCTCTCATCCACTCACCCCAAAATATAGAACCATATTTTTGCAATAGAACCAATGAAATAAATTTTTGGCACAAGACACTGAATGGGGATGTTTGATCCGAAATTCACTCCACACATTACACAAAACGGAAAGGGGCCATGGGCTGATACATGGAAAAGACCATCCTTTCCTGAAGCCACAAAATCCCACCACACTGGTCAAAACATCCAGTTACTAAACCCAGAACACTGGAAGCCACAGAGACGGTTCAATGGCTAAGGGAACACACTGTTTCTCTAGAGGACCCATGTTCAGTTCCCCAAGCCCACACCAGGCAGCCCACAAACACGATAACTCATTCCAGGGTATCCAACACGCTCTTCTGGCCTTCATAGCTACCCAAATTCATGTGTACATGCACACACACAGACATATACATAAGTAAAAAAACAAAAAATCTGTAACCAGGGCACTGATGAAGCTGAATCCCTATGTGCTCCTGAACAAGGCCAAATAAACTCTCGGCTGTCCTGCGGCTCACAGAGGCTGGAAGGATCTAGTCATGGTCTTCTCCCACGGGCTTATAACTGAGCAGCATGAGTTAACAGGAGTGAGGGCCAGGTGACAGTGATCTTGTTTTGCCTTGCCTCCCCCTTACTGAGGTTACACGCATGCACCACCACCCATTTTTCATCGTCCTGGGCATAGAGCTCAGAGCTTGTATGCAGGCACTACACCCCGAACCCTCATTATTTGGATCTTTAAAATTTTATCCCTGTACTATAGTTTTGGGGACACAAAGCCTTTATATAGTTTGTTAAATTTATATCTGTGTACATACTATATAATACGGTCATTGTTTCGTTTTTCCTGTGTTTTGCTTTTTCTTCTTTGAGACAAGGCCTCACTACATATGTCACCCTGGCTGGTCTGGAACTCACAATGTAGACCAAGCTAGAGAAGAGCAACAAATCAGACCCAGTCTAGCCTAGTTGGGAATCTCCAGGCCAATGAGATGCTGTCTCAAAGGAGGTTTTCAGTGTTCTTGAGGATGACATGGGAGGCTCTATTATGACTTACACACACACACACACACACACACACACAGAGAGAGAGAGAGAGAGAGAGAGAGAGAGACTGATTTTAAGTGGCAAAGAAGAATTGAAATATTACAACTCAGACCCCATTCTTCACAATCCCAAGCAAAATCAGAAAAACACATACATAAAGTTTTACCTAATGCAGGGGTCTGACAACTGACAGCCACATCCCCCACCCACTACTATATTCTCAACAGAACACACTGACTGTAATAAATCGGAAGGAAGATGAAACAGAAGGATGTATGAGGGGCGCTGGGAGGCAAAATCGGTGCCAGTGAATATGAGTGGGTACAAGGCACGGTGTCCAATAATCAGAGAGCAGACCTCGGCCAAAGACTGCCTCCCCCACCTTAGAAAGGGGTCCCAGTGCAGCAAGGGTGTTCCCTATTTCTCTCTGGAAACTGGGTCTCTTCACTGAGCTCTAAGCTTTGAGTAAAGCAACTGGAAACCACAAGCTCTAACAGTGGCCCAATGAGGTTGCGCTTTTATTCCCAGCCAACGTGGAAAATCCTGCCCCTAGGATCGCGCGAGTACGTGACTACAACCGCGCCTGGAGAAGTCGTCCCTCTTTACTATCAGCAGCAGGGTTTCTGTCCCAGCACAGAGCACCAATGGAGAGGGTGTCCTCAACTCTGCCACCACCCCGATGTGCGCATGGCTCCCAAACTTCCTCCATCCTCCCCGGCCCGGAGGGAGGATCGGAGGGCTCCAAGCTGGGGAGGTGGCATTCTTTCTGGACGAAAAGGGAGTGAGAGGAGGGCCACCTGGACCCCCGCAGAAGGAGACGAGCGTCCCAAGGTCACCGCCCTCTGCACACCGGGAGCCAGGACAGTCCCGCCGCACGTCTCGTGACTGCTGAGACTCCTGAGCGCAGCAGCCTTGGCCTCGGGAAGCCAGTCTCACAACGCGAGGGGCTTCCAGGCAGCCCGAGCCAGGGATTCCCGGGGACCTCAGGATGTATGAGGTTGCATCTGCGCAGGGATCTGGATGTTCCCTCCGTCCCCAGAGGACCCAGGAATCCTTAAGTTTGCGCCCAGCAACACGCTGTGCCCCGGCACGCCAGGGGACCAGTCAGCTGTCCCTCCAGGGTGCCCAGGGCCCGCCTTGGGGCGGGCACACCTGAGCAGAAGCGTAGAGTGTCCCCGCCGCCCCCCAGGCCGGTCCCTGCCCGCCGCCCGGGCTTGGCCCTCTCTCCCCAGCAACCCCAGGGTGTCAGGGACAGAGGTCCTCACCTCGGGGAGCCCCTGGCCCTCCGGCCCCTTGGGTAACCCCATGATCCGGATGCGCTGATGTGGAGCCAGAGAGAGCCGGCCCTACAACCCAACTGTGATCCGGGTGGGGTGCAAAGCGGAAACTTCCTTCACTGGAGCTGACACTACCACAGCCGGTCGGAGAACCGTGGCCCCGCGGAGCATGCGCACAAGGGCGGAAGAGCGGTACCACTGCGCCTGCGCAAGGGCAGCCAGACCTGCTGGGCGGGGCTGGATCCTCCTCCCCTCAGGGGCGGTACTGAGCTGAAGATTCCTCCCAAGCTACTTTTTCTTTCTTTCTTTTTAAAATGTTGCTTTTTATTTCCTAAGTTTTTTTCCTTAATTTTTTTTTCTAATACTTATGTTGTTGTTGTTTTAGTTGTCTTCATTTTCTTCTTTCTTTTTCTCGAGGCAGTGTCTTAGCCTGGTTTAGCACTTGCTGTATAGCTAAGGATGACCTTGAACTTCTGATGCTTCCACATCCCAAGTAATGAGATTATAGGCTTGTGCCGCTATGCCCAGCTCAATTGTTTGTTTGCTTTTGTTTTTGTTTTTTAATCAGTTTACAAAGTAGCATGTTTCCTTGTGGCATTTTCATGTAATACCCTTCCACCTCCAATATTTCTCCCTTCAATTGCCATATCACCTATGTTCTTTTACCATCCCCATTCCCCTCCAAGAACTTCTTAAAAGCTATTTCCCTGAGCCATGAGGATTTCTTGCATCCCGGCTCCCTTTTCTTTCCTGGCTATCAGATGTTGTGAGTTTGGTTCTCTCCAAACCTGCAGAAGCTCCCGGCTCCTGTGTCAGACCCACAAGAAGATGTACTCAGGTATTTTGTATGCAGCTAAGCCAGTTCTAGCCACGCTCTTGTGCAAGTTATGAATATGTGGACCCAGGGACAGAGAACCCCAAAAGAGATGATTTAGGTTGGCTTCCTCCCAGTGTCTGCAGCTTATTCCCAGAAAGCTTCGTTTGGGATGTTAGTCTCCAGCCCATCTCATCCTGGCACTCTTCGTCTTTCTGGGAGAAGTATTTCGCAGAGTCCTGTGATATTAGCTGCTGCCTCACAGATGTATGTATCCCTTGCCTGCCCCAGGGGACGGCAGCTATACAGAAGGGTTGTCTTTTCGCCACCAGCCTAGCACACGTTCCGTATGGGCTTCCCAGCCTGTTTTCAGTTTGTAAGAAATGGAGGCAGAAGTGACAGGAAGTCTCTTGCTGTGGGAGGGGTCTTTACTGCAGCAGTGAGAGTACTTGCCCCTAAAGGGCCTTTGTGTCTGCTCCCTCTTCCTTATATCTCTGATAATCTCCATATTTTTTATTTATTTATTTTAAGTGTATGACTCTTGTGCCTGCCTGCATGCCTGTATACCATGTGCATGCCTTGTACTCACAGAAGTTTGAAGGTATGAGACCCCCTGGAATGTGAGCTACCCATGGCCACTGGGAATCAAACTATGCCCTCTGCAAGAGCAGTAAAACCTCTTAACCAGTGAACCATCTCTCCAGCTCCTGTGATGGCTATTCTTCACTGTCAACTTGACTACATTTGAGTCTTAGTTTGGGTTTCATCGCTGTGAAAAGATAGCACAACCACAGCAACTCTTCTAAAGGCAAACATTTAATTGGGGCTGGCTTACAGTTTCAGAGGTTTGGTCCGTTATCATCATGGTGGGAAGTGTGGAGGCACACAGGCAGATATGGTGCTGGTTGAGCTGAGAGTTCCATGTCTTGATCTGAAGGCAGCAGAAGGAAGCTGTACCCCACACTGAGAGTAGCTTGAGCATATGAGACCTCAAAGCCCCCACAGTAACACACTTTCTCCAGCAAAGCCACATCTATGTCTTCTGCTTCAGTTCCTCATGTTTTCTGCCTTGAGTTCCTGCCCTGACTTCCCTTCACGATTAGCTAAAAACTGTAAGATGAAATAAACTCCTTCCTCCCCAGGTTGATTTTGGTCATGGTGCTTATCACAATAAATAGAAAGTAAACTGGGACAGTGTGTGTGTGTGTGTGTGTGTGTGTGTGTGTGTGTACAAGGAGTTCCAGGCAATTATGAGTCCCCTAGCATGGGTTGGAAACAGAATGAGTCATCTGAAAGAACAGCAAGTGCTTTTAATCACTAAGACTTTTCTTCTTCTTCTTCTTCTTCTTCTTCTTCTTCTTCTTCTTCTTCTTCTTCTTCTTCTTCTCCTCCTCCTCCTCCTCCTCCTCCTCCTCCTCCTCCTTCTTCTTCTTCTTCTTCTTCTTTTCTCTTCCTCTCTTCCTTCCTCCCTTCCTTTTTCCTCCTTCTCCTCCTCTTCCTCTTCCTCCTTGTAAATGTGGGTCTTGGGAATCAAACTCAGTTCTTATGCTTGCAAGACAAGCCGTTTACCCACTGAGTTGTCACTCCTGTCCCTTCCTCCTGAAAGTTCTTAACTGTACACTATTTTGCAGTGCTAAAAGCTTTGCAGTTGTGCAACACTGCATTCTATATTTAGCATGACATTATTTATGTATTTATTTATGTATTTATTTATTTATTTATTTGCTACTAAGGATTGACTTTAAGTATTGTGCAAGCCAGACAAGGACTCTGCCACAGAACCATCTCCCAACTGTATTTTTCATTTTTATTTTGAGATAGGACCTCACTGAGCTCCCCAGTAGAGTGTTGAACTCACTCTGTTCCTCAAGCTAGCCCTACACTTGGAACCCTCCTGCAACAGACTCCCAAGGAGTTAGAATTATAGTCCTGTGTCATCCAGGCTGACAGCATGTAACATCTTTACAATAAAAAGGTCGACATGATAGTACATGACAAGATGATTTAAACCAATGGTTTTCAACCTTCCTAATGCTGTTTAATACACTTCTTCATGTTATGGTGAGCCCAAACACAGAATTACTTCATTGCTATTTCATGACTGTAATTTTGCTACTGTTATGAATTTTAATGTCAATATCTGAAATGCAGGGGTCATGACCCACAGGTTGAGAACCTGTGGTTTAAATCCTATGTCCTCTGGACTGAAGATAAAACAACCCAACACACACACACACACACACACACACACACACTTATACACATACACGCACACACTGATGATTTCCCCTAACAACTCCCCAAAGAATAGTTTTATTAACAGATTCCAATAATTTTCATAACCGTACTCTATTAGCTTCATTAAAAATGATTTGACAAGGACCCTTCTCCACAGCAGTGAAAAACATGCTGTGGAGTATCTTCTGTGTTCTCTGTCTCCTAATAAAAACACTGACCAGGCTTGGCTGGTCAGTGAACCCCAGGGACGCCCACCTGTCTCCAGCCCCCACCAGCTGGGACTATAAATGCACACTAATGAATGTACTGTGGAGGTGCGTGGTGAGGATTGAACTGGGACCCTGAGCTCGTGCAGCAAGCACTTTGCCAAATGTGGGTTAGGTCGCTAGCCTACACATGGCCTTTTACGTCTTCATAGGTGGTTCCAGGGAACGGCCAATTTGAGAAGAGTTTGTGCCAGAAGTTCTTCTTGGTGCTGGAGTTATTGCAGCCAACAAATCAGACAAGATAATTACTGAGGGAAATTAAGCGTGGAAATTAATAAGATAATGTCTGGTGGAAATAAATGTTATTAAGGGGAAAAAAACCTGCTGTAATGGGTTAGGGAACAGTCCAATACAGAGTCATTTTTACAGGAAGAGGCCAGGATGCAGTTCTCTCATGCTATTTGATGGAAGTTTAAAGCCCAAGAAGGTGTCATAAAGGGCCCTTAAGGTATATGGCATAACCTTCCCTGGTCCCTGAAGACTGCTCTCAGAGCTCTTTCCTTGCTTGTTGCCATATAACACTGACCATCAAGTCCTTAATGTGGGCCCAAGGTAAGGTGATCTGCAGTGTGAGTCCTGGAGACTGGGGATCTAAGTTGTGGGGTCTGAGGGTAGGCTTTCAATAGCAGTTTGTTAAATATACAAGGACTTCATCATATCCTTGGGCATGATATTATTATTGTGTGTGTGCATGTGTGTGTGAGTGTGTGTGTGTTGTATATGTCAGCATTTATGTGGATGTATGTTCATGTATAAAGCCAGAAGAGGTCAAAGCAAGGTGACTTCCTTGATTGTTTTTGAGAAGGGTTTCTCATTGAATGTGAATTTCATTGGTTTGGCTAGCTGGCCACTCAATTATCTCCTGGGATCCACCTGTCTTTGCTCCTGCTCCCAGCATTTTTGTGGCTATAGTGATCTGGGCTCAGCAGGTGCCTCATGGTACTCCCCAGTGCTTGGTGCATGCTTATGACTTCTGTATGTAACAGTGCTGAACTAAGAAAGAAGCCAGCATTCATATAAACACCTCTAATAAAGGGTTAAATGTAGTATTTTCATTTGTGGGGCCTCCTGTTGTTGGCGAAATGTGAAAAAAGAGGAGAAGAGGGTGATAAGGGGGGCTGTATAAATATTAACAATGTCCGCCTGTCTAAAAAGAAAAAAAAAAACACATTTAGACTACTGAAGGACAAACTGGTGGGAGGATATTCATTGCTTGAGACAAGACTCACAAACAAGGAAGGAAAATTGAATAGAAACATGAGTGTGAGGCTTGAATAGAGTATTTCTCTGGGAAACTGTCACTAAACAGATAAGAAGAATTCAGCTTCATTTTAGAAAGTCAAAATGAAGTATCCTTCCTGCATGGAAGAAACGTTGTTTAACGCTGTTGAACCAGCACGGGTGCTGGGAGTAATCACTGTGCACTGAATATCCTAACAGTCTGGGACAGCGTGGTGGCAAACTTCACGGCTCACCACGTAGCCCTTCAGTGGCCGCCAGGACCCAGCCAGCACTCAAGGGGCAGGTAGAACTCTTACAGGGTTCTAAGTTGCTGTGATAAAACTCTGAACAAAAGCAACTCAGAGGAGGAAAGGACTTTGGGTTGCAGCCTATCCCCAAGGGAGGGCAAGAGGAAACTGGAGGCAGGGACTGTGGAGGAATGCCGCTTGTTGCCTGCTCTCTGTTGCACTCATAGGCTCATGCTCATAGGTTCTTACATAACCCAGGTCCACTGCCTAGAGATGGTGCCAGCCACAGTGGGCTGGGCCTTCATGCCCCAAAGAAATGCACACAGGCCAATGTGAGTGAGACAATTCTTGAAATGAGACTTCC